CACGCACGCACGCACGCACGCACACACACGCACGCATGCGTGCGTGCGTGCGTGTGCGTATTAATAATGACAATTTATAGTATGTGATCATAATCTAGTAATATGACAATTTCAGAGAAAATTATAAAAAAAATTATTGTAAAAAAGATATTTGCATATTAAATATATATGGATAAAATGGATAGAATTTAGAAAGAAAATTACAAGGGTAATATTGAATAATTAGATAATTGTGAAAATATTGTATATTAAAAAATAAATTTAGTAAGATTTTAAAAATAAATACTGTTATTAATTAAACAATAAATTTCAACAATAAACTAAATTATTTAATCTTTTGGTTTTAATATTTAATATAATGTATTTGGGAATTATAATGGATAAAATAGAATGAAAAATTTTTTGCGAAAATGATTGTAAGAGTGTTTTTGCCACTTATCTTGTTCGGTTTCCTCATAGTGAGACAATGCATCGTTTCAAGCTACCCTTATGATCTCTACTTCATCAATTCTTGGCCCTTCTCCAACATGTGGTCCCTTTTCAATGGTAAGTGAATTAGATTAGAAGAGGTACTTTTATCGAGTCAGAGAATGATTCTTCGAACACGCATCTCAGGAAACTGATAATAGCATTTTTACTGAAGTTTACTGAAGTCTTACGGAGTACATACATCTTACGTATGAAATTTTATTTTGTCAGTTATAAAGTTTTAAATTTTCTTATTAAAAAGTCATAAGTTGTTTACTAAATAAGATTTTTTAATTTTTTTATATTAAAATTATTATCGATACTAGTAATTCTGTTCCAATTTACAGAGCTTTCAACATGTTTGCTTTATTGATATCAGATATTGAGATACAATACATAAAAAAGTATTATATATGTTATTCTAGTGTACAAGAATATAAACATTTTTTATTTTATTTGCCCATTATTTTGTTAATATATTAGGCATTGAATTCGATCAATGACAATTAAGTTGTTTAATCAGTCATTAATTATCTAAATTAGAAGGATCACTGGTAATAAAAGATAACTGTATCTAATAATCAAGTGAATCAACCGCAACAAAATGTTCAGTTGGTTTAATAACGATAGTGCGACACGCAAGTGCTTTATTTGACAGGATCTGGTTTATCTGTCGAAGGCCACGAGTCGCGATTCCTTTAGAAGAGCAGTAGCCGCTGAGGGAGCGCACGCTCTTCCGACCGCTCATTAAAGCGGCATTCACAAGCTCGTATCGTGTCTCTGGAAACGCCCAATCACGTAGCCGAATACATTATACGACTGTTATATCTATCATGCAACTACATGAGAGAACGTGAAACCAATACAAATCCTCTTTGGTCAATACAGAGAAATTTGTCGCAAATTTGGCATGCAGACAATTGATTATTCTTTTATTCGATTTATCAGATATATTTTCAAACATTTAATCCAATTAAATGGTACATATGCTATTTAAAGACATGTGTTTCATAAAATTCATATGACTCATCAAATTAATAAATATTCATGAACTGTAATAATATCTGTAATAATTATTTTAGCAAACATTAATCAATTATTTCTAATATACATACATGATATTAATTTTTATATATATATATAAAATTTTTATATTTCTGATATATAATATATTTGTTTTTGATAATATATTTGTTTTTGATTATATAATTTTTCATTTCGATAATTTTGTTTTTTTAATGATTTTTATACTATTACCTAAAAAAATACAAGAAATTATTTAATTTATTTATTTACAATTTTTTAAAGATTTATTGGAACTAATTTTTTTTCTTTCTTCTTACTATTTAGCCTGTCTTGTTAGCAGCATTAACTGCAGGCGTATGATGGATATTATTCCTTGGCATTATGCTTAACCAGAATCCACTTTCAGGTTTTATGGTAAGGCCACCCTTAGCAATCTTGAGCGGAATTGCTGTCTTCTCGCAAGGTTTCAGATCGCAACGTGCCAGCAAGTGGAAAAGCAGAACCTTCGTCTCTAATAACGCGAATCTGTTGCCTATGCACATCCTAGGACCAATACCAAAAGGAAGATAAGCTCCGCAGTTGAGACTGTCTTTCTTCTGCTCATCCAGAAATCTTTCAGGATCAAACTTCTCCGGCTCTTCAAAGTAATTAGGATCATGATGAAGACCATGAACCGGTATCCATATGCCATGTCCTTTCTTTACAGTAAAAGATTTCATGCCTGGTAATGTTGGCGGTAATTCGAAATCTTTCAAACATAGTCTATCCAATGCCACAACAATCGGATACATCCTCAAAGCCTCGTTGATCACAGCATCTAAATATTCCATACCATTAACAGCTTCGTAAGATGCTTCACCGTTGGTTTCTTCCAAGACCTGGTTAATCTCATTTTGAAGTCTTTTTTGTATATCCTGATTTACTGCGATTTCGTGAGCGACAAAACACATTAATGTGGAGGTACTTTCGAAGCCCCCAAAGAAAAAAATGAATGCCTGTGCTACCATATCATCAATTGATAATTCCGCCTTGTCTTTACTTCTATTTTCCATCATCAATTGTAACATGTCTGGACGAACGATACCATTATCATCCCTTATTTTTATAGTAGTTTTTACAAGATCTCGGAAAAAATGTGTTATTTTTTCACGAATAAATGTCAATTTGACTATTCGTGCTAACCAAGGAAAATTCCTCATTATAAAAAACTTCAAAAGAGAGAAACCGCTGAAATTAGTTGCTTCTGTACCGTACACAAAAAATTCATTTTTCGGATTTCTCATAGAATCAACGCTGATACCAAAAGCGCAAGTAGCGATTACGTCATTTGTGTATCTTGTAAAGATGTTTTTTAGTTCCATTGTCCTCTTCTCTGGTGGCAGTTGCGTCAAATAAGTGCTGAAGTTAACACCGCAATTCGACATTAGCTTAAACATACTTTTCATTTTACTAGATGTAAAAGCCGGACTCAATATAGATCGTACTTCACGCCACCTGTCTCCGCGAAGGGCGATGAGGTTCTTGCCGAAAAATGGATCTTGTTGTTCATCAAGGACACCAAAGTGGTCCATAAAGTTATCAAAATGTTTCAATGTGACGGATTTAATAAGCTCAAGGTCACGGAGCACTATGATTGGATTTTGCCAAAAATCATACATGCCGACATACTTGGCGTTAGGATTTAAATTATACATCATTTTAACAAAATCAGTCAGTGATTGCTGACGGAAAATAGCCGGTCCCATGTTTCCAACTATAGGAAGAGGTTTCACATGCGGTATTCCATATTTCTTGAAGTAATTCATGTTTTTAAAGAGAAAATAATACAGGATTAGAGCACCTGCTATCGTCGATAAAATGATTATATATATCATATTGATAACAGTTTTTACACTATACAACTGAATTCACAAAGAATTGTAACGCACAGTTTACTCTTATTAGTACATTAATGTGGCGCTATTAAGTTGCTAAATGTTAGGATGCTGTAACTGCGTCGGACTGCGATGGTCAATTACTATTTATACGAGCAGTTTATTCTCTTATATATCGTAACATGTGGTGGGGATCTATTACGCACGACTACATGTTAAAATCTCGGATACGTCTTTGATTGGATCAGACATTCTCGATAAAATCTTTAAAAAAATTATGTTATGAAATTGCCATACCTAACTCAAATTTCTAATTGTGATCTAATTGTGAAATTAAAAATAAAATCTAAATGCTAGTATCTTTATGATCTTTGTATTCATTGAAGAGTCTGCCTATTCAAATGGTACTAGCTTTAATTAAAAACAAAAAATTTGTTTCCACATTACCAACTCAACTCAAATGATATTATTTGTATAAAAGATTTGATATCAATAACTGGCGTCAAGTTATAATATTTTATGATATCACGATAATTTTGAAAAAGAATTAAAGCTACTATCATTTGGGTTTTAGAATTTAACTTTTGAGGTAATGGGATTATAACTTGGCGCCTTTTTTGATATCAAATTTTTTTATATAAATGATATACATATATTAGTTAAGTTAAATGCAATTTTATTATCATATCATTATTTTTTAAAAAGAATTAAAGCTACTATCACTTGTGTTTTTAGAATAAGAAGATTTCAATGGGAATACAAAGATAGGAATTATTGATTTATATTTTTTAAAAGCAATTGCACATTTAACTTTTGAGATAATTGAAACTATAACTTGGCGCCGTTTTTTTATATTAAATCTTTTATATAAATGATATACATATTAGTTAAATTAAACGCTTATTAGTTAAATTAAATTTTATGATATCAATATTTTTTTAAAAATAATTTAAGACTACTGTCACTTGTGTTTTTATCTTACTATATTAAAAACCTTTTTTTATCTTTTTTTAGAATTATAACTTGGAGCCAGTTATTGATATCAAATCTTTTATACAAATTATATCATTTGAGTTGAATGGGCAAAGTGGAAACAAATTTTTTGTTTTTAATTTTTGTTCTATTTTTGTTTTCTAAAGCTAGTACCATTTGAATAGGCAGACTCTTCAATAAATAAGATCACAAAGATCACAAAGATACTAGCACTTAGATTTTATTTTTAGTTTAATCATAACTGGAATTGAGTGAGGTATGCAATTTCGTAACATAATTTTTTTAAAGAATTAACACTGCTATCATATGGATTAGAGTAAAAGATTCTTCAATGAAGATACAGAGATACGTACTTAAGTTCTATTTCTTTAAAATAAAAGATATTATCAGTTAGATTTTATTTTTTAACTTGGTACAACAGTTTCTTTTTTTTTTTCAAGCGCGCTTCTATTGACACCCTTTTTTTACTTAAAAAAAAATTTTTTTAATGATGTCATGCATTTTGTAGTGTTAAGCATTTTTTGTGTTTGAAAAGCACGTCTATGCTTGACACCTTTTATATAACAAATATAATTGACATTTTCTTTATATAAACATTTGTGTTAAATATAACTATGATATATTGCTTAATATACATGTTTAGTAGTTATTTTTTATAAAAATAGTATATAAATATCTTTAACATCTTTAGGCCATTGCTTTTTTATAATAGGACTATAACTTAGCGTCACATTTTCGATATCAAATCTTTTATATATAAATGATATACATATTAGAGTTGAATATTAGATACTATTTGAATTTAATAAGATTATGATATAACACTTAGGTTTAAATAGGAAAACTCTTATGTGCAAAGATATATACTTAGATTTTATTTCTATTTTTTTATGATCTTGAATATTTAAATAAATGCGATTTAGATAAATTTTAACACCCTTTTTTTATCTTTTTGTAAAAAGGTAATTTATAGTATATCAGACATTTTGTAATATTAATCATCTTACTATGTTCGAAAAGCGTGTCTCGACACTTTTGTACTTGACATTTTTTTTATAATAAGCACAACGAGCGTAAATAGGATAGAGAACGAAAGAACGAGCGAGATAATATATTTCCTCTTTTTCCACGCGTCCGATTGGCGGTCGACGATGTCGTTGAGTTTCACGGCGAGTTTGACAATTGTTGATAGTTCGTTTCGGTGTAAGTGATGTTTGTGTAACATAATCTATTATCTTGTAGATAAGTTCTAAGAAGCAATATGAGTACTGTCATTTTGAATGCATGTATTTTTCATTGTATTGTACTTTTACGTATGTATATGTTTGTGCTTTTTAATGTTTAATATTTCTCCTTAATTTACTTAAAATTTATTGAAGTATTTCAGGATGATGCTTTACAATTTTTTTCTAAATATCCTGAAAATGTATGATACATGTAATTTTCGTATAAGTGCAACATGTTTTTTTATTATACTTTTATTAATACAATTTCATTGAAAAGATAATTCAGTTTTATTAATAATTATTAAATTTATCTTTTTGATATATTGTTTAAATAAATATATTATATCAATATGATCAAGAATTGTACAACAATCTGTACAGATATAATACCTGAACACTTCTAGTTTTGATTTCTGGAAAAAAGCACAAACGCGTATGCAAAAGGACAATATCAAAATGGCAGTATTTATATTGCTTCTTAGAACTTACCTGTAAAATAACAGATTATGGCACATAAACATCAATCACTTACATTCCAAAACAAATCATCCCCAATTGTCAAACTCGCCGTGAAACTCAACGACATGATTGTCCGCCAATCGGACGCGCGGAAAAAGAGCAAGTATACGATCTCGCTCACTCTTTCGTTTTCTACTTTCTTACTCTCGTTATGCGTATGTACACATCGCTGCGAAGGCTGCGGAATCTTGAACTGGTAGAGATCTTTTATTAATAATCAGTCAATCTGAATCATGACATAAGGAGCAGGGATTGTAGTTAGAGATGATTTCTCAATTTTTCCTAAAACATATTGTACTCTACCCACGAATGATTCGCTGGATCCTACAGTGCCCTAATTTATCGATCTAATGATCTGCTGGGTCGACAAGTTAATAATGATAAGTATGCGCTTATCAAAAGAAATATATAGTAGTAATCTAGAAACATTTATAAGTGCATGAATTCTAATTGCAATTGTAGAAGAATACTCGATCAATTATTTAGCATAATTTATAATTAGAAGCATAAAATGTTACGAAATATATGTTTATATAGATATAAAAATCGGTACGAACGAACAATATAATGATAAAAATATAATTTAAATGCATTTCTTTTTAAATTAGAGAAAGAGAGAAGAAAGATGGAACAAATAAAAAAAATTAATGTGTTTATTATTTTTCTTATTATTCTAGATTATTGCTAATGTGTCCGTTTCCGATGCGCGCGTATTTATCATTAGATCTTATCGACCTTGCGAATGAATCAGGCGGATAAGTCAGGGCCACTGTAGATTCGAGCGAATCATTGACGGGCAGTGTATGTACACTATGCAACAATGATTCGCGTGGTCCCGCCGGAGCTCTAACTTATCGGTCTGATTTACTCAGGCAGGGTCGATAACATCGATAATGCTGAAGAAGATTGAAATTAAGATAATTAGGTAATTTATTAAAATTATAATAATAAGTTTCTCAAAGATATTCTTTTATTAGAAATAAAATTATGCATAACCGAATAATTGATCTAGTATTCTTGTGCAATTACTTGCTGTTATCGTCTTTCCAACGAATTTTCAATCAAATTTCTATTTCCTTATACATTATTTAACTATTTATTACTATAATCTGTTGTCGTTTATATCTATTTGAATAAATGTTTAATTCAAAACGCATATATTACGAATTATATATTTATACAGAGATAAATATAAAAATGCATATGACCTATAACACGATGAAGATATAATTTATGCATTTTTAAATTAGAAAAAGAAAGAAAGACGAAACAAATAAAAGATTAATTAGTTATTATTATACTACGCGAATCATTGTCGCACAGTGTACATATATTGGATCTACTTGGGCTCGATAGCATCTCGCAAATTGCAACCGTACGCGACGTATAGCGACCATGTCGGGCGACGATGATAATAATGACGACGTTTCTTAAAGTAAAAATTTCCAAATTGAACTTTGCGTAGCAGTATCTCCGCTCGTAGGGCACGTAGCAAAAAAATAAAAATACTTTTATAATGCAAGTCGAACTCAAACTATCGATCAACTTAGAATTTGATCGGTTTAGCCGTTATTGAAAGCATTCGATAATTTCGGATACTCGCATCTCGCCGACTCGCGTAAAGTCACACATAGTATTCTCGGTTGATTTGACACTCGAGACATTACTATGTCTCCTGATATCTGGATTTGTCGATCCAATAAAGTACAATTATTGTTGATATAATCTTATCTATATAACATGTCAATATGTTGACCATTTTCTTATCATTTTCTTTCATAACAAAAGCTAATAATTCCATTTTATCATGTAAGAAATATATTTTATGCAAGAATATTGCGATTTTAAGTAAACAAAAGAAATAGTAAATAAAAAACAGTAAGCTTAAAAAAAAAAAGAAAACTTAAGAAAACTTAAGAATAATTAAATGAATTAATATTTATTAAAATGGCAATTAATACATTTATGTAGTTAGCAAAATAAATTATAAAATTAATATCAAACTAGGTTATTTGGATAATTAACTAAATAACGGAAAAAAAAAAGATATTAAAATAATAATTAGATTGAAATTTCTAGAAAAGCAATTAGTACAAATTTACATACAAAGTACAACAGATCATATAGTAATAATTATGAAATAATTAATCATACGCATAACTGCTCATTTTATCTTCTTTTGTCTTCACCGTGTAATAATGTTTCTTTGTTTTCTTTTGGCACAAATTAAACTAGCATCAATATGAATACTTGAACAAAATTGATTCTGACATTGATCAAAGGCAAATATAATTTGCCTTTTATAATTTGCCTTATTTTGCATCAGTATAGACATCTTTTGTTGTAAAATCAACAATAAAGCATTGCTTTAATCTTCTTTCTTATTTTTAGCTCTTTCTTATTTCTCAAATTTAAAT